CCCTAAGAGGTTTCCTTGCAGCGTCTTTCCTACGTCCAGTAAGACGCAAGCAAATACGCGCTCGCACTAGAGCATGATCTGAATCTAGGCATGTGCTCCAGAATGAGCGACAGTCTTCTATCGAGCCCCTCCATCGGTGGCTGATAGCGATGTGATCTATTTGGGTCCAACGTTGGGACGAATTAGGGGGTCGCCATGTTAAAAGATGTTTTTCCTTATGCTTAAAGTTAGTATTTGCAAGGAACAGGCGGTTATCTGAGCATAGCTGCAACAGACGGTCGCCATTATCTGTTCTTTGAGCCACGACACCATAAGATCCACCTAGGTGTCTTTCCCTATCGCTTAGTTTACCTACTTGAGCATTAAAGTCACCGGCCACTATTACTACATCCGAGCGCCTAGCTTTTCGGAGAAGGTCCGAAAGCTTTCTGTAAAACTCATCTTTTACATCATCTGAGCTGCAGTCAGTGGGAGAATAGGCAGAGACGACGAAGAGGCAACGACGAGTGTCCCTATCTTTCCGGATTCTTACTGTTCCGTTCAGTCGGACAGCGCACAAACGACTGTCTACTGGGATCCACTCTAAGAGAGCTAGTTCTGCCCTAGGACTCAATGCTATACCTACGCCGGCGAGGCCACGGGAAGCAGAATCAGGGCTTCCAGATACACGAAGCGTAAATCGAGTCGGTTCTTTATTTTGGCATGGTGAGGTCAAATGAATGACGCTACTCGGATCCTGTATGCGCGTTTCGGAGACGCAGCACACATCGATGGCGCGAGATTCTAAAGTTTTAGCTAAGGAAGCCTGCTGTCCTATTTGGCAAAGTGTTCGTACGTTAAAAGCTCCTACGTGTAGTTTAGAGCGTGGTTTCAGGAGACCAGGAATGGCGTTCCACGTACTCGAATCGTTTGCCCTAGCGGTGCGAGGTGATAAAGAGACGTGAGGAGGGTTAGTCATGGAGATAAGAGAGGTATTAGGAGGTGTAGGAAGGATTTGAATGTGACCACCTTGGTCTCTTGTGCTGTTACGGGTATGAGGGCTGATGTCACTTCCCGGCTGCCCACACCGTGGAAGGGTATTTCTTGAGGAACCTGAAAAGGAAATTGGATTAGTGTTGGTCTTGACGACCTGGGAGCGTGACCGCAGAGCCCAAGGGACAACTGCTTGAGGCCGGTCGCGCACGGCCTTTTTGTGGAAGGTTTTTGACGTGTTAGCTCCGTTCTTCAAAGGGCCTTACCGCCGGAGACGGAAATCCGTGAGGTAAGGTGAGGTGTGACATTTTTAGGGTCGACCTTTTCTAACCCCACCCCTCCTTGTGGGAAGGCAGCATCGCTGTCATGCTGGTTGTCCGAAGGAAACACCTTACTGCTGTCACACCCCTCTACAGTCAGCAGTACGACTTCGCCCTCAGACCTTGAGTTGCTGCTTTTAGTCTTACCGTTCACCAATCGACCTGCCTGGCATGGTAGAACCTACAGGAACATATGTTCCAGCCAATATAGCTCGGTTGGGTCATCACGATAGGCAAGCCCGACCACCGCGTCAAGGTAGCAGCTTCGGTCGGGAGTCCACTAACAATTAAGGTAAAACTACTGATCGTGATTCTCTCATAAGACTGAATTTGTCGGATTGTTATTGCTCTCATTAATAACAAGTTTAGTGATATACAAAATGTTGGACAACTGACCAGTCAATAATATTATGGCATTCTATCGTCGGTGACATCGTTAAGTAATTTTTTAAATGTTGAACCATTCCAATCACTTGCAGTCTTATAAAAAACTCTCTAGTTGTGTTTCTAATTGTGCCTTTCATGTATAAAATAAACTAGTGTTTCGACATTGTAATTCATTGAGAGAACAATTAAAACCCAAGTGATGTGTAAGGTACATACGATTTTGTTTCCAAAGATCTAGACATTTGATATTTCGCTTCTGTTTGATGCAAATGACGTACATTTTAATGTAAGGATAAATTTATTTTTGTAAATAAACCAATTAAATCTAGTAACTGTATTGCACCTTGATCGAAAGTAGTCCATCAACACCACCACTCGATCCCGATACACTCGTCAGTCAGTTAGTTATATTATCATTATTTAAACACGTAAACATTGATACCGAAATATATGTGCATCACATAATAGAAATGAGGTTGTAATAAGATGTAGAAAGGAAGGTGAGTATAGCAAATATGAACAGAAATTGGTGTATGAGAGTGAAGTAATAATGATGAGAGAGGGAGTTCAGTTAAGAAAAATGCTCTCAGAAAGAATTCTTTCAGTTAAAGACGTTCCTCTCACTTATACTCAAAAAGTAAAAGAAAGTTATAGCAGGATCGTCACTGGCTTTTATTCTGAACCTTGTCCGTCAAAGTCTCAAGTCACTGTGTTGCACCGTCTCTATGACCCCAACCAGGAAGTCATGAAGGACCAACAAAAGCAAGTCCTGTACAATTTTCTTTCATATCACGACATGTTATAGACTGACCACCTCTCCGCTTTTTTCGACCAGTTTCAGCATCGGCAGATAATATATGATGTGGAATTCACTGCAACGGCATTCTCAGTACATATCCGAGCCACCAAAGTCAGTGTTTCATGATGATGATACTCATTGAATTGTCGTTACTGTACCGAACACATGTTGTCGAACCTGTGCATTATTAACATGGTGTTGCCGCTGGATATCAGCTACGGTGATTGTACACAGAGTCGTCTAACATCATCAACTCGAAGAGGTCAGGTTTCGCAAATATAGAGCAAAACAACTCTCGCCGAAGCATTATAAATCCAGTCTTTTATATCCAGACTCGGTCATAAGACAAAGTAAGACCTAGTGAAAAGATGCATTAATTCAGGTCGCTATAAATCATCCGAGCACAGTGGAGAAAAGAGAATTTTTCCCAAACCACTAACATTATTCTTACTATTTTATCTAATATAATAATCAGTGATAACAAAATGTACTTTTGTCTCTTCTTAAGATGTTCATCATAAGGCTAAAAAAAGTCGCATTACGATTGAGTTGTTTTCTTACCTGCTGAGTGTTATGCATTAGTGTTTTAGTACCGGTTTTTATTCTGTGTATAACCTAATTATAAAAACAAACTAGTCTAATCCTATTTACTTGAGTATTTTACATCATTGCTTTTATCAATATATAGTGTAATATAGAGCAGAATTAAAGCAGGTATCAAAGTGAAAATTTACCAGTGTACATAGAATAGAAATGATTGGTGTTTAGTATTATTAACTGGCATAGTTACCTATTTAATTAACCATAAATCTTATATATATTCCTTGTTTGTTTATCATTTACTTTGTCTTTATATCCTGTTTCTATTCTTTCATATGATTAATACTTTTTCTCGATTCACTTTCATCAGTTTTTCGTTCATTCTGTTCTGTTTCGTATTTCTTTTTGTGTGTGAGAAATTAGTTTGATCTATATTTTCCTTTTGTTGAATTTTTCGTCATTATCTTCTAATCAATTATTCATTACTGTTTGTTATTAAGACCAATTTTTTATAAGTAACTGAATTACTCATTAAGTTGTGTGGTAAAACGTAACAATATTAATTAAAAATTTAATATCCATCACACACTTAGACATTAACTGATTGTTCATTAAAAACAAAGATCACTAGACGACTGCTTCTCAATCCTTCATTTGGAGCTCATCTAGAAAAAAATTTCTAACAAAAATTATAGGATCTCCGTAAAGTCACCTTAGTAGATACTATTAATAATAAACTTGTTCTTACAAGCCACTAACTTTTACAAAAGGATTTCCTGAACTTCTAGTTTGCCACTAACTTGTGTGAATTTTACTCATGTCAATGATGAATCACATTAAACTTACCAGTCACATTGCATCAGAATCGAGTCATATGAACCATTTGATTCCAACAAAGTGAATAAATGTTATGATACTTGTTATGAAATTTAAATTTGCTCGATATTATTTCACGAAAAGATGCGTGTACATGCATCACTAAGGTGTCTCAAATTCAAACAACTAGTTAGTTTTCTTTAATTTTATCTGATTCTGTAGTGCTATTCCTTAACGAATACCTAGTATTATTTAGCCTTTTGTAATTACTTATTTGTTGATTGGGTTGTTCCTATTTTTATTTGTAAACTGGTGAGTAATTTCAACTGCATAGGAGAGCTAATTTTGAATTCTTATTTATTCAATCAAATTTATATTGTATTCAATTTTTACGGTAATTTCTAAGTGAGATTGTGTTTTTTCACTCTAAGAGGTTTACAGAGATCAGTAATCTACCATTGGGATTGATTTGTTTAAGCTGACTATGTGGACTATTGGTTATCAACTTTGTATATTTTAAAAGTGACGTGCTCTTCAGAAAAACTACTAACGGTTTTGATTTCTGATGAGGTTGTGATTGATGCTTACTGTTGAGAAGTCCCTGGTTTTATTGTATTTATCTGTTCAAAGCATATAAGTTCTAGTACCATGCAGCACCGAAATGAGTTACACAAGTGAAATGACAATGTTGTGAAGAAGTAAAGCAGATAAGGGTACTATTGTCGATAAATAAACGAATAACACTAATAATTAATACGAGATACAGTTAGGTTTAAATACAGCGAAGAAAAGCTTCCTTCAGATAAGGAGTATCATTTCACTAATATGAGGGGTAAACTATAATGGGGTCTTCACTGACTTCTGTTCTGAGCATTCTTAATAACTTGTCAATTAATTGGGTTGTGCCATCTCTGAGACCCCAACAGAGGTGTCATGGACTAGTGAATCCATGACTAGGACAAAATTACTCTAGCATATTCCATCACTCTCTTTGGCAATCGATGATTCTATGTTATTTGTTCTTGGATTTTTATAAATTTGTGATATGTATTTCCAAATTTTTTTTTCTATTTGTTCAAATTAGCTGGTGTTCTTGATAAGCTTGTTTCTTAAAGATTTAAGCGTGCTGCACCATTAACCACAAAATATTTATATTTACTTTTCAGCAAACAGGAACTCTTGGAGCTCCACCTAGAAGTTTCTCTTCAATGAATGTATACGCATTGTCAACCTCCTCGATTTTAGACCCGTCAACAAATTTGGGATCAGGTGAAGAGTTTGCTGATGTTCCTCTTTATTCTTTTGGTCCTAATGTTGAATTTACGGTGGATGACTTCCGTTCAGTTTTAAAAGATAGTAGAGGTGTTCGTGTGGATGAAGTAAATAATCTAGTTAGTGGTAGTGTCAGTGGACAAGGTTGTCCTGGTCCTAGTGCTAGACGGCTCATGCACATGCAACATCAAAATGTTCCTGCAAACCATTCTGTTAGACAGAAACAAATTTTTTGTTCTGGCACAATGTTTAGTCCTGCAAATCAAGCATCTCCAACAACTAATACGGATACAGTCTTAACGTCATATGATCATTCATCAACTCCGAGAAATCAGATTCACACTACAAGAGCAAATACCGACTCAGCACCTTTGTCTTGGGTAAACACAACAAATTCGCCAAATACTGTCACTTGTGATTCATCTCTAGGTCCCTCCCTAGCTCGTAGCTTCAAGGGTAAGTGTCAATTATTTTAACAAATATTTATGTTGTATTTATGACTCTGAAACTCAAATTCTCAATATCTGGGTGCATTAATTGTAGTCATTCACAACAAATTTTCAGTGGAGAACCATAGGCCGTCCATTAGCTCCATCGAATTCTATCCTGGACAATCCTTTCCAGTTGTTTCGAATGACTGTTCATTCCTTCTGTGTTCGCCTCCGATCCCCGATGAAATGTGTTTTTTGACTGCTTCTTTTCCCTTTACCTTATTGATTCCAAAATAGAATTTGCTTCGTGATGCACTTTTATGATTTGCACTATGTCTGTCCTATCCATTGCCAGAGTCTTTTCCTAAATTCCTCTTCAGCTGAAAGTTGGTTTGTTCTCTCTCAAGGCTAACAGTCTTAGCTCAGAAGATAAGCTAGTAGGCGTCCTGCATCCATAAATGTGAGATTAATGTCTTTAACTGGAACAAAATCTGAATTGTCTCGTTTGTATTGTTACCTAAACTATCTCTACTGTTAGATACTGTGCTTTTTTAAAATTTACTACTTTTTCGTCACAGTGTTATCCATACTTTATGTGTATGTATTCTCTTTTTTGATTCCCAGTCTCACCAGATTTTATATGTTTTAATAAATAAATAAATTCACTTCAATCTGATAAAATCATAGTATAATTTATATTATTAATTTTGATTGATTTCCAATAATTCGTCGTGACAGTTGACAGGTTATAAAACATCTCATTTTTTTCTTTGGATTTTGTGCGTCCTAAGTGTTCGATCTTATTGTTTTCAATATAAATTTCATTATGGAATGTTGTTTAATATTTGATTTGTTTCAATTATCACTTGACTTTAGGCTACTTTTGTAAGTTATACTGTGTTTGTGTTCATAATTGTCGTGTTTTGCACAGTTTTATAATGCACTTCCCATAGTTATATAGACAACTTATAACCATATAATTAATATTCCTTTATCGTTTTCACCTTTCAATTGTGTTATTGATCGATATCCCGTATGCTCATTTTATTTTCTTTGTTACCTGTTAGGTTGTAGATTATTAATTATTAGATCTTGTATTCAAATACTGTTACTCTGGATAGAATATTTTTCACTTTTTATAATAAATTACAAAGTTGTATTGTTCTTAATTAACCAGATCTAGATCTATGTACTTGACTGCTAGTGTTTTTCTATAAATATTCCTGTTATCTCTAATAGTATTGTTAATTGAATTCGATTCACTTGATTTTCAACCATACTTTACACTAAGTTCAAACATTATTGTCTCTATTTCGGTTTGAACAAGTGTCAATTACTACTGACTGTCACACACAAATCAAAGTCTATTTCCGAAACCAAGTGCACAAATACATAATTTTTTTAATCAGGTTTCATTAATCGACAAAGAAAGTAACTAATTTAATGGTAATCGACAAAAAATACACACTTTTTTTAAAAGAAATATTTTACTATAGTGTAATGTAGCTGACTGACTATAGTGCAATGTAATTCTTGTCGCACGTTGATTGGCAGTTTATTTGTCATACGAATTGTTATTACTTTACAAATCTATTTTTCTTCTATATTCATTCTCTCCTTCGCATTATATTTAAGACGAAAGCACAATTGTATGGTGTTTTTTCATATATATGAATATTTGCCTATCACAATATATTCTTTTTGTTTAAGACACTACTGACTCCTGAATAAATAATTGGTTAATATTCTTCTTTTGGTTAATGCTTCCCTCCTTTTTTTGCGCAAGACAAAGAATACAGTTTATGTACGCGTGTGTTTGTGAAATAATACTTTTAAAAACAATTAGCATGTGAATATTTAACTATTTTATGGTGCTCTTTTTCACTGCTATTTTATAATCTTTATATGTGTGTATGGAGATTTACCTGCTAGTATTTCTGATGAACAACCGTTTGCTTTTCCGTTGTTGATATTTCAGACTACAATTGTTCAGTTTCTGTTATATGTTTAACCTGCGTAAATTGGTTCGGTATAACATTTAGTCACACGCTATTTTTGTATTTGATACGTGATTAGAAGTGGAATCGAGGGTTGCCATTTCATCCAACTGATGAGTCCAAATTAGAAAGTAAAGCCCATATTAGATTTTGCTGCTAGTCACATACCAAATTTGAATACTTTTCTTTTCAAAAGAACAATAAGTCTTAAATACAACACAAACTTTTCTAATTCAATTGGTTTTAAATCATACTTCTGTGTTTAGAACACATATTACATATTTATGTAGTATGTGTTCTAAACACCCGAACTAATGATAGGGAGTTAAGTAGTTGAGCCTGTCGACCGCTTCACTTATCTTGGAAGTCTCATCAGCCCTTGTGGTCTGGTGTGTGACGAAATCTCAGCACGAATACAGAAGGCTCGACTAGCTTTTACCAACTTGCGTCATTTATGGCGTTGGCGAGATATCCGTCTACCAACCAAAGGACGTGTTTACTGCGCAGGAGTTCGTTCCGTCCTACTTTATGGCAGTGAAACATGGCCGGTAAGAGAAGAGAATATTCGTAGGTTATTAGTATTTGATCATAGGTGTCTTCGAAACATTGCTCGTATATCCTGGAGCCATCAAGTAAGTAATGCATTTGTTAGGAAAGGGGTACTAGGTAAGAATGGCAAATCGATTGATGAACTAATGAAACTTCATTAGTTGAGAAGGCTGTGACATGTGTTACGTATGCCCAACCACTGACGAGCGATGTTTCATGGTGTAGGATTAGGTTGGAAGAATGCTAAACATGGCACAAATCCATGAGGTCGCTGACAAGTGAACTGAGCCATGTTGGCAGGTGTAGACTACCTGGTTGGGGACCGCGAGATGATAGCAACCGATGGTCAGAGACCCTGAATGACATGGCTCAAAATCGTTTGCAGTGGCACAGGTGCATACACTCTTTGTGTTCTCCCAAATTTTGATCTCCTAATTCCTCCTTTTATCTTTTTTCTCTTCCCAAATTTATTTCACTGGATTATACTCTTTAAATAACATCTCTGAACCCTAATGTTTCCGATTACTGCTTATACTCTTACTACCTCTGACGCTACGGGATTCGAATCGACCACTGCATCTCTGTGCTAATATGGTATGGCAACTCGAGCTGATGTACGTACGTACGTACGAAGTTCTACGTTGTTACTGACTGACTGACTGATTACATAAATATTTTCTATTGGTTTGTTTGAAAATACTGTTACGAACTGCCAGTATTTCGCCGTACTCAATCTGTATTAATAAAATGTTCAAATTACATTTATGATAAACTTTTCTTTAAAGTTTAAGATTTATCGAAAGAAGCATTATTTTCTTTTCTATTTGTGCATATTTAAGGTCATAGTTAATTATCCATTAAATAATATTGTTTTTTCATTCATAGTGTATGCAAATAATCATTGTTTAATTTGTCATATTGATTCTATTTGCTGTAAATACTATTTGATTATATGCAAAATTTAAGTTAATTATCTGTAATTATTACCAAATCATTCTCTTCAATTTGTTTATTCTTTTACAATTCATTAGATTTTCGTCTAATTTACATTTATTCAAACTAGAAAGGTAAATTAGTTAACTTGGAAAAATGGATTAATTTGAATGCATAGTACTTCAAAGCTTCTTGTTTCTCATGGTTACTGTGTATGTGTGTGTGTTTGTATGTACGTTTGTGTAGGAAATACTTTTTGAAGTTTATTTATTACACCTTAATTTATTTTGCAATGCTGAAGAAACAACAGTTTTTTATGGTTTTCAATATACATTAGATAGGACTGATATTTATGAATCAAAGATATTTATCATCTTGTTGTATAATTTTTCATGATATTTTTTTACTGTCACACCCTTTCATTATTAACTTTTTTACACTTGCTTACCATGATGTATTATGTATTTTTCTACCTTCAAAAAGCTAGTTATTGATGTTAATCTCCCTATGTTTAATTATGGGTTATCGGTTTAAACACATGAATTTCATGCTTTAAGTCACAGTTTTAAAATTGTTTCATATGAATATGTTTAGGAAACCAGTTAGTATCATAACTAGCCGTCACACAAATACTGTTGCTTTTAGCCTTGTTTTATAAGTTTGAACAAGGTTTTTGGACAGATATTTTTACGTTAAAAATTATCATTTTAGATATTTTATTGGGACGAATACATCCAAATCAAGGAGCTGGTACATCTAGATCAGCTAGTTACCGTCGTATTGCTCGTGCACGTTGGCATCATTCCGCTGGTAGTGTTCTTGCTTCAAGTTCCGTTATAAGAGGATCTGGCAGTGAAGAATATTTAACTTCAAACATTAATCGAGATACACTTTCTCATCAACATTCAGAGGATTTAACTGGTGGAATGAGTAAATCTTCTCCACCATCTAATAAACATAATCCAGCATCTAAATTCAGCAGATTTCGAGTGTCCAAAAGAAGATCTAGATTCTCCTATACACCTCCCGCACATATTTCATCTGAACCTGAAACAGATGTAAACTCAGAAAATCCTTCTAGTAATAGTGGGAAACGTTTCAGCCGTCCAGTACATCCTGCTCATAGTCATTGTGTTTCATCAAGTCAATTAAAAAGGGATTTTCATGATGAGTCTCCTTTAAGTTCTATGTGTGTAGCACATGATTCTGACAACCGGTCGCATTCAAGACCCAGACCAAGATCAGTTTCTTCTTCTACATCCAAATTAGCAGGAATTTGGAATTCCATTCTATCAGCTACAGCTATCGGGAATAGTATAGTAGTTAAACCTCATCTATTACATCATCCATCCACCACAACAACGTGAGTAATATTCTTACTATGTATGCAACTTTTATTCAAGTATTTCGCATTATATATTTAAACGAAAAATTTAGAACATATTCGCACTTACATACTCTTTAATTTAGCGCAATAAATTTATAGAATTGGTTTTCATTATTTAGTTATATTGTTAAAAACATCTCCCTGGATTTCAGTTTATTGAATAACTTTATATGTCCTCTAAGCTTTCAAATAATCTCGGATGATTTTACTCATTAATTTAAATGTGGAAAAGTGTACAAGTATAAATAACCCCAATCTATATTACTGTTCGTTATGTTTGGATTTTATCTTAACATAGATTAGAAAGTAAGTTGGCTAAAGTCAATACTCAATAAAATGCAATCAGACCAGGTTTAAATTATAATATGATGACTTAGTCCTTTAACAGGAGACCTGCATCAGTACAATTTAATGTTCATTTTTTATTTATTTCAACTTGAGCTGTTATTTTATTGTTTGTGTTACGAACTGACTGTAACTGGGCAATCATTGGAAATCAAGCAGTTCCGGACAGTTGTTTTGTACGTAGTATGACACTCACCAGTGTTTACCTACAAACCTGTTTATGACTGACCTTCTTCTGGAGATCTCATGCAGTTCAAAATGGTGATTCATTGCTTAATACATTCGACTTTCAACGAATATCTAACTAGACAGTTAACAAAAATGGATTATATATGTACTTCGGTACAACAAGAAAAGTCGTCACTTGTTAATAATTTTTTGTTTCATGTTGGTTAGTTTTTAATAAACTTTGTTCATCATGAACTAGTGATTCATTCAATTCCAATGAACAATACGAGGTTTTTGCTAAATCACACTCAGCAGTACGGATTTACAATGTCATATGAGATTGGACAAAATGATTTGATAACACTTGAACACTACAATACTTTTAAGGCACTAATCATGTAAAAAAGTAATTAGTTTTAAATATTAACCATGATATTGTGTTAATCCTTATAGTACTGTACAACTCTTCAATTTATGTGTAATACTTGGGCTTATTGGCAGTGATCTCCCTCTCTTTAAAATAGACAGCAGTTTTTTTTTCTGATTAGCCAAAAGTGTATTTTATGTTGTGCTTTATTCGTTTGTGTAATTTAACCCTGTAGTCTGCGTAAAAGCCATTTTTCTTTATAAAACACCCTGACAAATCTAAATCAAATTGATATCATATGTTACATGTTTCATAACCATCACAGTTGTTAAAATACAGACAGTAGGTTTTAAAATATGTTACAGTCAGAAACAGAATGACAAAAACGGAGGAAAATACAGTTATAAATTAAGAAATTGTTGCTTGTTTATTTGTTTGGTTTTTTCTCTTTTATTATTGTAATCCGATTGAAATTTTCATGTTTTATTCATATCCCCCTTTTTTTTGTTTTAGACCAACTACCGTGAAACAAGTGAAAGGACATCGTAATATTTTACGTAATACCCGTCATACTGGTAGTGGGGAAACACAAACTGCTTTAACTAAATCACGTTCACGTAAAACAAAACATTCCAAATCCAATACTGATGTAAATAAAATGAAAATATCTCCAGGTTCTTTTCTTAATCGGCCTCATTCTGAAGGTAATTTGATTAATTCATGATTAATGGTTATTTCCTTTACTTGATCTTTGGCACTATGTCTTTCTTTTAAAGGGCTAATCTAATTTACACCTTTTGATAGTTTTGTGACTAAACATGACTTTTGGTATTTCACTACATATATGAATTTTTAGTATTTGATTCCAGTTATCTCTGAAAAACTTATTGTTTATAATGAAATTAACAGATCAATGAATCTTATGGTTAAGCGTTGTTTCTTACGTAACGATAACATTTTGATCGATATGTCTAGAAACTGTCATCAACTGTAGTGGTTAGAAACTTGATCATTCACCGTCTATTCATACGTAAAACGTTAGCTTAATATAATAGTAGATCAGAGAAATACTGATAGCCTTCAATGACAACATATCATTAGTTTGCGAATTCTCTTACAGAGAGCACAGACATTTTGGTTGAAATCTTTAAGATAATCATTATATGTACTTTTTAAGATCTTAGATACCACAACTGAAGAGCAATTGAAGAAGCTCAAGTGTACTCGTTTTTTTTAAAAGAAACTTTCATCTGGATCTTGAATTTTAGCATAATTTTTTCTGTTCTATTCTTCTTTACTTTCGATATTATTGATTTTGACCTTATGGTTTTTAATGTTGTCAGCTTATTTTCTATAACCTGTTATAGAATATGAATGCTTAGACTGACATAGATTGACCAAGTAACACGATTACGTATACAAAAAGTTGTGAACTATATCCAATTACTCTTTGTACAAAATCACATAACAAATGACCATAACACAAGCATAGAAAACAGTAACTAACATATATTATTATTTAACACTGTCTTGTAATTATTATATGTACTTATTGGTGCACTTCATATAGTCACCTTTTGCTGGAACACCTAATTAGATTATGTAGGAAACACAGCTACTGTGAACAATAAACTTTTTCGAGATTGTAGATGCACCTTCTTCGTGAATATATCTTAAACTTACAACCAAAGTTCATATGAACTAATGCTGTTTTTTTTAAGGTCAGTATTTTTTAAAATCTTCCCCTTTAATGCAACTCCTTAACTTCAAAATTTTGTGTTCAAGTCTTTAAAATGTCCTACTTGTTAAACTTGTGTATCTCATACAAAATTTCCGTTAATAATATTCAAATTTAAAGGTTCATAACATAGTTATTTAATTATTAAATTCTATTGAATTATAGTTGGATTTATGAGTCATTTGAAGCTAGATCACCATGGGAAACCTGGAAGCAATGAACGAACGTCTCGTCCTAGTACGGGACTCATCAGCAGTACGCATCCACGACCCGCCTCGCAAAATTCGAACCCAGGACCTGTCAGTCTCGCGCGTGAGACTGTCCAGGTTTTCCATGGTGGTCTAGCTTCAATTAAGTCATGAATACAATTACTAAAATCTTCACAAAACCCTCTTCTATTGAATTAGTTAATTTTTTTTAATGGTTTATTTTATTTTAGAATTACGTTTGGCTGGTTTACTCAATATACATGATTCAAATGTGATATGTTCACCTTCACAACAAGATATAACGCATGTTACATCCACTATCAATGGTGTTTTTCGACATGGTTCTCCGGTTGCATCTAATAATAAGTCAGTACATTCACAGCAATATATTAATGGGAAGTATGTTACATCACAACGAACTAGTGAAAATTACATATTTCCGTCAACAAATAGTACCCCGCAATCTCATTCACAATCACCGAATAGAATACTTCATAATCGTTCGTCTTCATCACGTAGTTTTGGTTGTGTTGATTCTTATCAAAAGTTAGATGTTCTAGGAGAAGGTTCTTATGCAACTGTATATAGAGGATATTCACAGTAAGAAAGTTTTATTATTCCTAACTTGCTTGTTTAACAATAAATAATTATCTCACTAAATGTTATACTTTGTATTTGATACTTTTCATTCAATATTTTTTCTAATTATGAAGTTTATTAGATTTATTATTGCCAATATTCTTGAAACCTTATAGTTAGTCTGCATCACGGACTGACTTTTGTTAGAAAACTACCAAAAACCAGGGGCACTGAACGATTGTTCTATTTCAGTATGAGACTCATCACTTTAAATCTACGACCCCATCACGGATCGAACCCGAGTGCTTAAATTTCATTATATTATCTTGGTAATATCTTATACTGTGAAGCTTGGTGATTCACGTTGGAATCTCATAGCATGCAGTAGTTTCCCCAAGATTATAGATACACGTCGTTGAATAATCCCAACTAGCACAAAACTTAGATTTTGATTTTTACCCCGACTATCTATAACTACCTATCATTTATGTTGATTGGTTAAACATATTGAGATAATCAATAGCTAGGCATGTATCTCACTAATACCCTTGCCTATATTTCCCCTCAAATTCACTTAATAATAATAATAACAGTGATAATAGTGAACGCATAAGTATTCAATTTACATATGAATGAATAAATTAATTATAGTTATTTTACGGTTTTCAAATTTTGAGAGCAATCTTCTTTTCTTAGACAGAAGAAAAATAATTACCTACCTGTTTAGAATGTTTTAGAGAAAATTTCACTTGCATTATCCATACCTTGAAGGTTTTATGTCTTTACTAGAATGATTTTTATAATTATTCTTCCTATATCTATATAAATTTACATTCTTAGACTCATAGTTGGAGGTTAATAAACCATATTGTTAGTTAATATTTTAGAACTTTTCCCAAGAATCATAAATAATGCTGCAGAAAAAACTGAAGAATTATTGTCAATTTAATAAGAATGCAAAGATTGGAAGGAGCATGATCTGTTAAAATGTGTATGAGTTGTATTGAACCTCCATTGACTGTTGGATTGAGCCATGTTTATAGGTGAAACTATCTGATTGGCATCCTAACGCTTATCATTACCAATCGTTGATGTTAGGTGAAATGGCACAGAATCTGTCACAGTGTTATAGTTTCATTCACTCTTTGTCTGGACTTAAGTCAGTCAGTTACAACGTCGGACCAGGCACATATGTGCATCGGTCCAAGTTTCCACACCTCATTAGCACCGCAAGATGAACACCAAATTCATAGAAGCAATCAACTCAATGGTGTAATACATAAAGGAAAGATTGCATATAAGGATATAGTACAGGAAGAAAGTTACTTCACAGAAAGAAAGATATGAAATAATTTTAGTCTCATAGTTTAAGGGGAGACAAAGAGTGTATACACCGACACCACTGTGATCGATTCTGAGCCATGTCACCAAGAGTCTCCAACCATTGATTACGATAGTCACGCGGACCACAATCAAGCAGTCTGCATCTACCAACATGACTCAGATCAAAGTTATTGACTTAAAGCACTGATGCTACATTTTGGTTTGGCCGCCCTAACTTTCTTTTAACCATCCTCAACACTAGTCAGCATTGCGCGCCGTGCTTATCGGTGTTCAGGCGTACGTAACACGTGGCCCAACCATTTCAGTTGATGAAGATTCACAACCTCATCAACTGACTTACCATCATTCCTTAATTCCTTGCATCTAACCTCACTATTACTTACCCGGTGATCCCAGCAGACGCCAGCAATATTTCTAAGACATCTGTGGTCAAATAATAGAAGCTTACGAGTATCTTCCACTCTTAATGGCCATGTTTCGCAGCCGTAAACTAGGACAGAAGGAACTGCCGCGCAGTATACTCGTCCTCTTATTGATAGACGGATATCTCGCCTTCGTCATAGGTGACGTAAGTTGGCAAGAGCCAAACTAGCTTTTCGAATCCGTGCTGAGGTTTCGTCAGATACCAACCCATTAGGGTTGACCAGACTTCTAAGATAAGTGAAGTTGTCAACACGTTCGACTACTTTACTCCCTATCCTTAGTTCAGGTGTTGACGCAGATCAGTCCTGAAGCAACAACTTGCATTTAGAGGGAGAGAAGCGCATTCCAAACATTCTAGCACTGTTGCTTAGTGCTACCAAAAGACTGCATTTTGTCAGCGTCTTCACCAAACAGGACCATGTCATCTGCGTATTCTAAGTCGATATGTGTACCTCCTGGATGGAGATCAATACTGAGAATTCAGTTGACGAGAATGTTATTTCCTTTAGTAGGTCTATGATGAAGTTAAACAAAAATGGAGAAAACTATTCTATCGCCTGATTGGTTGAGAAGCACGCGAGTGAGAAGACAAGTCAACTGGAACATTGTTCGATTTATTCTCAATACCGATCTGGTCCCCGATTTCAGATCACTGTAAAAAGATGCATGAATAAATAGATGACTAACCCGACCACAACGTACAATAATACGTTTAAGTTACAATAGCTTTGGAACTAGATGGACTATGGTAGTGAATCATACATCAAACGAAAGCTTATGATCTGTAGAATAAATTAGGGTAAAAAAAATAAATGTTACTGTTTTACAAGCTTTGAATTAAATGAAATAACGTCCTCCATAATTAACTTCCGTAGTTTTTCAAGGCTTCTTGTTTCTCCGTTCACATCAATAAGTGAAAATACAAATTGATTATCAAATATGTTAATTAATATTGAGTGCAGACACATTTTCGTATTTCTCTTGTTCAATAGTTCTTAATGGATAGACTGTAACTTATTTATCAAGCAAAAATGTTATCTAATTTTACGATACTATGCGAACATTTTCCATTGTGTTCGGTGGGTAACTGTTTTTCATCCGACACGATTGAAATCCACTGGTCACAGCTTCTCACTAGAACCCCGTGAAATTCCTCTCGAAGCTAGTCCCCAGTGAGTACATGATAATTGAAAGTATAGGGTTGCGGAGATTGTTGAGTTTAATTAAAATCATGAGCCGATTGAACCGTTGGAAACCTGTAAGCATTGGACAGCTGGTTCGTTCTCGTATGAGACTCTTCAGCAGTTGAGACCCACGACTTCGCACACAAAAATCAAACCTAGTATTATCGATCTTGCGCGCGAACATTTAACCTCTAAACCACTGAGCTGTCATCCGATGGTGTTAATGTCTAACTTGGAGTTTCCAGGTTTTGAGTGGTGATATAATATTGATCGGTTCCGTAATTCCGATTAAGCTCAATAATCTGCACAACTCTATACCTACATTTATAAACTTTGCTTTGAGGACTAATGATATCACCTGTTTTATTCAAACTGAGGTGGGTTATAAATTATTTCGGACATTACTCATTTTTCTGAAAGTCGAATGTATTGAACATTAGGCTAGCACTAAGTGTAATGTTGATTCATGTGGCAGTACTCTATTTCGAAGTGCTACTGATTGAACTAATGAGTATTGCCGCTATTACGTGATTACTATACACATGAATATTTAGCTACGTAAACTCCGGCAACACTGCTTCACTGGATATGAATTTCTGTAAATGCTAGTTATATTGATTATAGACATATTCAGTATTTAGAACAACAATATTGTTTTCGATCAGATCTTTATCAGACGTTACTCTAATATACAGTAATATTTATATGCATATACGAAATTAATAAACCAGTCAAGATAGTTTTTAAGTCAATGATAACAGGGGAATAGATTACATAAATAAACGTTACGTGATGAGGATCTAATCGAAAACAATATTGTTCGCTTATATATTTTGTTCTAAATCAGAATATTGGAATTTTTCAAATATCCAATATTGTTTTCAACTTAGTAAGAAATGTTCACCGCATCTAATAAGACAATCAAAGTTTATTTTTTATTGTTACGAAATAGGCTTCTATCACGTATGGGTTAGTGTTTCTTTGTTAAAAAAATTTGTTTATTCGGTGGTTGCATTTTAAATTTGGGATTTTCTTGTCGAAGTAAATGGAATGAATTATGATTTAATTCATTCGTATTAATTTTTTTTAAAATCTACTGACTGACGTTTAGGACTGCAATTAATCAGTTTCTTTTGGCTTTTGTGCATCATGTGCGATATTAACATTTAATCACAAGCATTAAAGCAGTGCTGGATGGCGTATAGTTGTGGAGTGAATGAGGCACTCCTAATCTTATGTGGGACTCGTTAGAGACTGATCGATCACAGTCCCTCGACGTAAATGGAGAGATTCAGATAACTAGCACTAATGACTTAAATTCACCCCATCGCATAAGCCCGGCGGCAATCTGAACACAATAGGTAAGTGGATAACTCCTTGTCGTTTGAGATGAAAGGTTCTGGGTTTGATTCTAGATGTAAACATCAGCTCCGTGATCCAGGTTCGTCCAACTGACAAGTCCTAAATAGGTTGAAACACGCATCTTAGATTTTAGTGCTAGCCACCATCTAAATTAAGATGTAGTTTCAAACGAATCGTTTTGTTGAGTATGTTCAAATATTTCCTGTTAACTGTAAGCCAATCAAATAAACTAATCAGTATATTTCTATTTGAAAGAACTACTTGGTATGAAGAATTCAATTTATGCTCAAATATTTCACTAAAATGTCTGTTAAATATGTAGATGATATTTTAAATTGACGTTTTAAATATTTCCATAACTTTGGATGTAACCCGTTTGATAGGTGTAGGTCTATATACTCAGTTTAGATGTATACTTTTTGTGAAGATCAGTGATAATACTCGATTATGGAAACGCACATAGATATTCCGGTTGGAAACTGAATTTTCCAACAATTAAACTATCACCTTATGTACAGTTATATATTCATATATAACAATACTAGTTTGCAGAAGAACTGAACAATATCTAAGCTATTTTACAACCTATATAATAATACAACTGGATCCTGTGGCCATGAGTCCCAAAATATCTTCAAAATCTGTGAAAGACCAGAAGTCACAAGGAAATGCTTTATCTATGACATATCTGAAAAATAAAGAATGATG